ACGTTTAGTGTGTTTTGCATACGGAAATTCCGACATTTTCTGAGCGTTTTCACATCGGTGAATCCCTGCCAGTATTCTTCCCATTATTTGGCAGTTTTCCTTCGCGGCAAGTGCTGGTAAAAAATATAATTTTCAGGCATTAACTGCTCGGTTAACGCACGGCAAATGGCTCGTTTTCCTTTAGTTCATCATCATTTTCTGAGTGTGCAACAACGTATTCACCGGAGTTAGCGGCTGAAAACACCATTTTCCGGGAAGATTAACGTGTAGAATAAAATATCGTACCCATTTCTATGCTTAATGTTAGTTTTTGAGTTGTTCTACTCATTCTTTTTCTTTACTCAAATCAAAAACCCCAAATTTTGCAAGGGCTGGTCATTTCATGGCGAAAAAATTAACATTTAGGTAGACGAGAAGTGGCGCATGGTGTTTAGCAGAGGTCAAAACAAGGAAGCCGTGGATCCAATTGTACTGTGCATCACCATTAGAAATAACATTAATGTTCGCGAAGAACGACTCTTCAATCATTTGGAGATAAAATATTACTTCTCTGTTCAGTGGATTTGGATTTAAGCCACCTTAAATAAAGCAAGGTATAAACTTACAGGTTCGTCAGCCGGGTGTTTTTACTAAAAATGTCTGATGGTAGTTCCTTCAACTGGTTGTTGTCCAACGTCCTAACAAGAAATCATAAAAGAGCGCTGTTAACTACATTGTACGTAGAGCACCGGGCAGTAGTGCTACATGCGATCTCACCGATTTCAATGAAACTTTGCCAGTTTAAACGGTCTACCCCAAAACTCAAATAGACAAACTGGTTTCTGTTTTGGTTTTTACCGGGGGGAGATAGACTACCCCCCCTGGTTTTTCTTGGTTTTCACTTTTTCACCAAGGAAATCGCTTCAAAATAGATAACATGTATGAAGCTCTCACTGCGATGGTATTTAACCAATTACTCTGAGGGAATGATGATTTTAGATATATGAAATTCATATATTTGCGCTGCGGTGAAAAAACAAAATTAAGAGATCCTCGCACCTAAGAACACTACTGAAACGAGTAGTTGAAAATAGGACCTGAAAAAATTCAGGCCCATATTGGATTTGAACCCAGTCATTGTCCTGCGTTTTGGTTGACACTAATATCAAGTTCCAGTGTGTGACAACTTTGGCTTTTAAGGACGAGAAATTCTGCCCTCTCGCTTGAAAGCAAATATCAATAGTTCTAAAAACTGTGCTTCTATCTCGAAAATAAAATTAAAATAGTGTTGTCGTCGTCACTTGCCGCCATCGAACATTTCATGCAGAACTCCGGTAAGCTAACATTGCGTGACCTGAAGACTCTCCGTAGGAATTATTCAAGCGCGTTGTTTATGCTGTCTGCCAGCTAACAATTTCAGAATAATCTGCAAAGCTCTATTTGCCTGCTTCGATCGTAAAATATCTGCATATTTTTTTCAAGCATTCTATCACTACATATAAATCTACATCTCTGTAGATCGAGCGTTACCGGCTGTCTGCCAGCTAACAATTTCAGAATAATCTGCAAAGCTCTATTTGCCTGCTTCGTTCGTAAAATATCTGCATATTTTTTTCAAGCATTCTATCACTACATATAGGCTTCATGCAAATTTCCCTTGATGAAATCCCAAGACATAGTCAGTTGTTTTCGTGAGCAAAGACAACATATATGAAAAAAAAAGTTAGATGCAAATGTCTTTATTATTATTTTTGTTAGCTTTATAGCAGCTGTACCCTCTCCCGCAGTCTAAATTTTGCAAGGTCACTCCTTATCTTCTGCCTTGTTCGGTCGGTTTCGACTTCTGAAGCTAGATCATTGGCATCGGCCTCTTCGTCCTAGTTTATATTTACAGAGGGGGACCTCGTCAATAAACCAATTTTTGTTACGGCAGATAACCGGCTGAAGTATCGAGCGATTTGCTGCTCTATCAACCGGTCAGTCTTAGACAACATTTCTGGCTGGTGTCGTCTCTTAAACTCGATATTTGGGAAGTCACATTAGAAGCGGTTGCTATACTAGTTTCCTCCCCTGTCCAGCACACGTCTACGAGATGATTTATTGCTTTCTGAGAAAAGGTGGCTGTTTTTTGTGTTTTCCAAAGAGCCCATCCAAAGTCCACTTGGCTAGTTCGGGATTGTTCGTGAGAATTTTACCTGAGGTCCGACCTCGAGCATAGTCATCCCCTATAGAATGGCAAGCCGTGTTGAAGGCCTAAATGTAATAACTGTCCTAAATGTAATAAAGTCCTAAATGTAATAACATTTGGTCCTAAATGTAATAAAGTCCTAAATGTAATAAAGTCCTAAATGTAATAACATTTGGTCCTAAATGTAATAAAGTCCTAAATGTAATAAAGTCCTAAATGTAATAACATTTGGTCCTAAATGTAATAAAGTCCTAAATGTAATAACATTTGGCCCTAAGTGTAATTAGCCTCCAATGCAATCGTATAACTCCTTCAGTGCATTGTTGTTACGACGGACATCCACATTGAGATGTTGAAGTGACAGCTGTTGCACCAAAAACCGCTGACCAGTATACATGTCTCATTACGGGCTCGCTGATACCGATCAGCGTCTTTTTACTTGCTAGACATAAGTCGAGAAGCATTGGCCGCAAACCGTTATACTGATAAAAAAATGGCATCAAATGACAGCTGACAAAATAATGAGTACGCTGACCAAAACCTCTTCATATGTCACTGGCTCAGACTCTTAGGTACAATAAATTTTGGAAAAATTGGATAACATTATACATGTGTGATCGGTGATGGACTTAACAAGTCATAAACCAAATTACAAACTTGGACAAGGGAGTCCGCTGACTTGTAGGTCGGACAATTTGCAGGCTGGGCTACAAATTTTTTTTTCTTTCCATGCCTGCATAGACCTTCTTAGCATGCACATTTTGTTTACCAATTCGGATCTCGTGACAGCACTCTAGAGGGTTGTTACTTTAAAATTCTCGAATATCTCCCTGAGTATATGAATATGGACAAAATAATTGTTCTCCTCGAGAGAACAAAAGTGGGACAATTATGTTCTCCTGATCTTGAAATGCCTGCAACAAATCCGACAAACGAATAAGGTATTGCATGTGTCTCCATCGAATCATATACTCAGTGACTTACATTTAACAGGTGTAAATGCAAAGAAGTTACTGACCAGTACATCATCACAAATCACCGGCTCAGATTGCCAATCACAAAACAGACACTTAACAAAAATCTGGTGCATGTCATGAACGAGCTCACTGATGCAAAATTTTTGAGCTCCAAAATTAAAAGGAACGGAAAAAGGTTCCTATGGAAGAGGTAGTACTGTAATTCGAAATAAGCAACAGGTCTTTTTAGCGCATACTTGTTGCTCGATTACGTTTTATATAAGGCCGGAAACAGTCACACGAGTGATTTATAATGAACATTAAAATGGTTGTTTATGTTGAAGGCTGTAAATGATGTCCCGGTCCCCAAAAACTCACGCAAAAAATTTGTTCCCTTGCTTTCTCCGAGATGTGAGTACAACTAATCGTGTGAGCCGTTTTTAACGGTATACTAATTGATTTAAAGAATTAAAAAACGGACTTTTCTTCTACTGAATTAACACTATGAGAATAACATGCACGTAAAGCGCTTAACTTTCCAGTTTCAAAATAACTGGCAGTAACACAAAGATTTGCCCAGCAACGTTGAATTGATTGGTTGAACTGAGTGTGGAAAAATTCTTGAGTGCGGATCCGACTGATAAAAACATTTCACGACCCTGTGAAATATTCCGGCAGTTTTCTTTGAGATCTAGATCGAATGTGGAACGCTAGTGCTTGCATTGATTCAACATGAGATTTATTGTTTTAGCTGTTGTGATTTTAGCATTACTAGCATCATTGTGGGATAGGTCTGTGGCCCATAAAGATCGTGAAAACTTCGAAGGGAATCGGAAACCCTCTGTTTTAGCAGACGACGTTCATGAAGCACTGCTCGACCTTGTTGAAGGCAAGGCACAACCACCGGTGAAAGAACGGACGAGAGCAATGCGTGCAGCTGCTGTGCGATACTGGAGAGCCGGCGGAAAGATATCAGTGAAAGCAGACCATGGTGATAAGGCACTTTATTACGAGGGGCGGCGACTGTTAAAATCATCAGAGGTTAACAAAGTAGTGGTTGAGGAATTTGAAAGGACGAAAGGATCTGGTGCGGTGAAGTTGGCTTGCTCACTGAGGGACAACTTTTTAGGAGTAAGTCGAGCTAAAATACAAACCATTCTAAACACGGACAAAAGTCATTATCGCCGAAATGCTAAGTTTCTTAATAAGGCGAAGCTGAAACCTATCAGAGCCAGAGATGTTCATGTTAGGCACCAAATAGATTTGATGGATATGAGCAAAAGAGAATCCGTGAAGATGAATGGACATTTTTACAGATACGTTCTAACAGTGATTGATGTTTTCAGCCGTTTCCTTTGGCTTCGTCCTTTGGAAAGCAAATCAAGCCAGGTTATTGCAAGTGAATTGGAATCTATTTATATGGAACATGGATCGCCAGAAATAATACAGTGCGACCAAGGAGGGAGTTCAAGAAAGCTTTGAAATTACTTTGCGATCGCATGAATATAAAATTGATTTACAGTCGCCCGCGCCATCCCCAATCACAAGGCAAGGTGGAACGTTGCCACAGGACACTAAGATCCAAGATGGAATATGACCTTCAAAAAATGGGTCAAGACGGTGTAAACTGGGCGAAACAGCTCCCTCTTTATCAAAGAATTCTAAATAACGACCCTAAGGAAGTAATAGCTTACAAAACACCATTCGAAATATACTTTGCACGAAAGTGCAACGCATTTAGAGAGCAGATTACAAGACGAAATCCTTCCTAGCGCTGGGAGGGTTCGCGCAACTAACAATGACCGTAATCGGCGTTCCCGGCAAACTTTGAAATTACGAAAGCAAGAAAAAGAGCCACGAGCAGATGTGACAAGCGGATGCAGCGAGCACAACTTCGCTTAAATCTGCCCTCGGTTTACAGCATTGAGAAAAAGTGTATATACGTTTGAGAGGGAAACCATCGAATAAACGGCATGTGACGGAGGGTCGTATCGAGAAACGTAAGATCAAGTTGCATACCTATAAGGTTTCATACACCTCACCGCTTTCAGGAAAGGAAGAAAGGAAATGGGTCACCGTGGACGATATCACAAGCATAACACTAGAGCGAGAAAAACAGAAACAAAAATGCGCCAAGCTGTCTAAAAAGAAAAAATTGACCACTACAAAAGTATTACATACCTATGAGAAGAGACGATTATGCAAAGGCTATTGAAGATCAGGGTTTTAAATTGGTCTACAATCCTCTTGGAGATGGCAATTGCCAATTTGCTGCACTATCGCATCAGGCAAAGAGACTAGGCATTTTGAGATCTCCTGAAACCATGAGGAAAGAAATAGTAGAGTACTTAAAAAGTAATCCGTACGATAGCGATGGCTTCCCACTTTTGGAGCATTTGGCAGATGATGAGTTCGCTTGCTGGGACGATTATATAACTCATATGGCGCGAGATGGGACCTATGGGGATCAGATTACGCTTTATGCAGCAGCAAACTTGTATAATATCGATATCCAAATAGTTTCCTCTCTAGGAGTTGGTGGGCAGCATGTGTTCAGTCCGTCAGCAAGTGTTTCAGCAGCTACCGTGTACCTTGGACATCTTGCTGAGAACCAAGGCGAACACTATGTGAGCTTGGAACAAGTTGCGGATCACAACGACGCTAGTGAAAAAGAATACGATGAAAATGACCCAGGAGAAGGAGAAATTCCCGAGGATTATGCGAATGAAATGCACATAGAGCAGGACGTCGTTGATTTTGAAATGGGTGACTCTGACGCAAAAACTGGACTTGACAGTATCGTCGGCATTGGTGACGACACGGACATTGCTACAGATACAGCTAAGGGACTTACTCATGGAAGCCGAACAAACGAGACAGAGTATGAATTACAAAATGAAGTCGACAATGATATAGCGAATGATGGTGATAAGCTGATGGAGGTTCAGTTTGTTTCAGATGTAGACATCGACTTATTTGCGGCGAGAGGAGATGACGAATGTCACATTGGAAAACTTCCCGATGAAGTTTTAGAAAAAATCTTAGAAATAGCGTTAGCGTCATCGGCCATCCTGTTTGCTGGTAATGCATGCCACACATACCAAACATTACGTAAAGTTAATACACGATTCAGGGCGTCGGTGCAACGTCTGAAACGATTTCTACCAAGGCTTCATGTTTCTGGTGGATTGAAGTCTTGTTTAATCAGCGCTCGAAGCCTTCTAAAAAAGTATGGTCCTTTAAGCGGCCTATTGATCGAGCTGAAGAAAATCATTTCTAGTCCAAAGTGGGCTAATGCTTGGCTGGAAGTTCAAGTGGATGAACTCGATTGGTACGTAATCATTGGAATTTTTTGGAAGAGAAATTGACGGCAATTGATGATAAACTAGCATGCTATTGTTGATGTTATCGTTCGTGTTAAAGTCGTTAGTAGTGATGCACCATTTTGGAGCAGTTTGAATGATTTCGCTGTATCACATGTTAATCCAAAAGTATTATTATCAGTAGTGTTACTGAAATTTTGAACATCAATGTTATTCAGCGTCAAATGATTTAATGAAGCATTTGAGTTCATTTATAAGAATGACTATCTTGATTTATTCAATTTTGAACCTAGGATGTTGCATTTCTAGCCCTCTATGGCTTCACTCCGCCTCGGTAACAGTTCATGTACCATATGACTATAAGTGGAAACTGTTGAGCTATCTTTTTTCATTTATTTATTTATCTATTCATTTTCTCCCCTCACGACGGGGAGAAGAGGTGAAGACAAAAAAATGAAATAAAAACTTGAGATTGACTGCGGTATATATTTTTTCCCGATATTTCGGTTCGGGAACTGATGAACCTGTCTTAAGGGGCTAAAGGAAAAAAAAAGAATGGTTCATTAGACCATCAACTGAGCATCATGTGTTGAATGCTGTAGCTCAAGAGTTCAATTTGACGCTCGCGTGGAAAAAAAGCCACATGTCGAGACCTGTGATCGTGAAATGGGATAAGATATGATTGGTCAGTAGATATCTAGCTCTGTAAGTCACTTTATCATATAGCTAGCAGCGCCCGCGGGCAAGATGAAGTGAATCCTGTGTTCTGATTGGATACCTGAGCGGGCAAGATGATTCCCTCGCCCGTTCGAGATTCCCCGAATTGATACCGCGCAAGAAAACTCACAAAGTTCGTAAATTTTGGACAATGTCGACATATACTTAGAAAAAATTAAACGACCCTCTTGGGTTTATTGTACTACAAAAACAGTTGGCTTTCACTCTCGGCTCTCGAAATAAACAAGTCATTCTTGATTCTTATCAAAGCGATATCTTTTGCTATACAATGAATCCCTTAACGTTTAAGCCAAGAGAATATAAACTCTCTTGCATTGACCAAGCTTGTTCAGTCAAGATGAATGGATATTAGCCTCGTTCTTTTTCTCCTTTTTTTTGGACCAAGACTTCGTCTCAGTCCCTAAAAACGCAAAAACAAATAAAAAACTCGGCCAATATCCAGCCATTTGACCTCACGCTTGGTCAATAACGCATAGGAATATATTTCATGCAGACTCATACAAATCTTGCAAGGGAAGACAGTACAAAAAATGCACTTCCGAGCCCGGAATTTGTCAGACGTATAGGTCAGTGGACTACCTTTTTCTTGTAACGCGGTTCATAAGGTGTTAACTTCAGCACTGATCACACAAGTTATCGTGAAAATCTGTTTCACTTAAGAGTTTGAGCCAATGATCTAAAGAGAGCTCTTGGTCAGCGTTCTCATTGTTTTTGCGTCTGTCAATTTGATGCCAAAAGCACATCAGTATAAGGTTTTGTAGACAATGCTTCTCAACCTACGTCTTTAGCATATAAAAGATGCTGATTAACATCAGCGAGCCCGCAATATGCCATGAGGATTGGTCAGAGGATTCTTTGGTGCAACATCTGTCACTTTAACATCTCAATGTGGATGTCTGCTATAACAACAGTGCGCTAGCGCAGTTAAACGATTGCATTGGAGGCTTATTACATTTAGGACCAAACGTTATTACATTTAGGACTTTATTACACTTAGGACCAAATGTTATTACATTTAGGACTTTATTACATTTAGGACAGTTATTACATTTAGGACTTCAACAAGCCGGTCTACGTCCATTTCCTCTTGACCTGAATACTGATCCACGTAGAATATTCTTGACTTGTTAATGAGACTATTTAAGGAAGAGGAAAAGGTTCCAAGGGCGAAATTCTACCCCAGAATAATTCCGTCAACAAATTTCCTTACAAATGTTTCTTTGATAATCTATTTCGCGAACAAAATTTTCCTGAACTAATACATGTTTCAAAGGACATTTCATAGTCCAAGTGTTAATGCGGCTGCAGCCATGCGGCCACTCCAGATGGGTGTTGCTACTGAAAATGCCTGATAGTAAATTCTTCGGCTGGTTGTTGTTCAACAGCCTATCAAAATAAGTTAACGTATTTCCAATTGCATGGTATACGACAACAACGTTCAGAGAATAAGAGTGCTCACAAAAAAGTTGTTACCTCTCTTCTCCAAAACATAAAAAAAAGATAAAGAAAACAAAAAGCCAAAGCAAGTAAAAACTTTGGCATTCCTCTGTGCAAACAAGCAAACAAAAACAAACGAACAGGGAAAGGTGTGGATACCGATTTCTTTCCGGTTCACGTGATATTTTCCAATTACGATCTACTCACGAGAGGGTCCAATCAGTTTATTTAATCTTTAAGTATTCAATTTTTAACATAGATACCTTTTTCTTGTAGGAAAGGAAAGACTCAAGTAATTTTTACGCTCATAATTTGTGACTTTATAATTTAAGCGTTATTTACTTGCTTGATTTATCTTGTTCCTTTTAGCCCATGCTCCTACGAAATGCCTTGACTCCACAGCAAGGTAGAAAAGATTCCTATTTCTTTTTGTCTTATCTCAGTAACCGGGCTTTATATCATTATCATCCGCAAGCGGAGGAGCTCGTTTCAGCTTCTGAAAGTTGTTCATCAACAATCGTCTTTGCAGCAAAGCCTCGTTTCACAATCCATAAATATTTTTCACGGGTATAGTCTAGACGTGTCACCTGACCTTGCAACCGAGGAGTACCTTGTGATATTAACAAACTTATTTTCCCCAAATCCAATGCCTTCCGTGTGAGTCCCAAATAACAAATTCGTTGTGACTCTAATTTACATATACATACATACACTTTATTTCAGCACGACAATAGTTAAAGCTGGTGCTTATATGGTCTTGCATCTGACTACTAGGTTTGCAATAATTTACAAGTTACCTAAATACTGAATACTGCAACCATTAAAAATATATAAAATCGTCATTACTTAAATCAAAGGTTATAGGCGGATGTCGCTTTGAAATGAGTCTCTTAGTTCATGACTCTTGCTCAGTTTCGAATCTATAGTCCATCGTTAATTTTTGCTCTATGCCGATATTTCAATTTAATTGTATTCCAGAAAATAGCACCCGTTGTAACTAATAGACTGTTCTTGCATATACTCGCGGGTGCCTTCAAGAAAAAAATATTCGGGCGCGCCGTTTTTAAAAAACACAACCACACGCTGCATAACAATAAGTCGATTAACCTGTTTTTTCTTCTCGTGAGTCGAAGGAAGCAAGTACAATAAAATGAGCGTCATTTAATTGAGTACTAAAAAACACGTTTTATGAACGCAAGAATGCTCTCTCTAAAAGCAAAGCAATTTATCTGGTTCAATGTTGTACACATTTCTCATTTCCTAAATATTCCAGCCACCCCTCAGAGACTTTAAAAATATTTTACACCCAAAAGGCTTGGAAAAAGGACACACTGGAAACAAACCTAATTTAAGCGCTCGAAATAATGGATATCAGCCCGGGGAAAAACCTTTTTCCCCAGTGCATGGTTTTGTTTCCCATCACAAATCATTCTCGGCATTATTATTTATGACCCTCCACGGATTTCAAGGAATCAGGTGAACGCACGCACTCGGCACGTTATAACACGCTCGCGCGCCAGTAGCATAACACGCTTATCGTGTAGATATGCACATAAAAACAATTGATTCTGGAAAGCGTGTTGGTAGCCATTTTTCATATCTGGCCAGCGCGGTAGAGCTTTGAGCTTTGAATCTATAACTCGCTCATAGTACAGCAACGTATTAATATTTTCAGGTAAATCTGTCAACTCCATTATTTGGTTTCGCTTATCAAATGTCTTCTAAGACATCCATCCATAAGTGACACATTCGTCAATCTATTATTTTCCACAGAAAAGATATCAATGTCGGCATGGGAGACAACATGATATTCGAGTTTCTTAAAAATGGGTTTTTCCTTACCACTATAAAATGAGGTAAAACACAAAAAATAGTTTAAGCAAAGAGCATTTGAAATAGCTTAGACAATTTTCGTAATTTTGCCCTTTATGTGATTAAATTCGAAAATGTCAATCACAAGTTCCCTGTGATGTATGTAACGAACGATTTTTCCTGAACCGAGCGATTTGATAAATTTCCTTGTTCAAGTGTTGGTTCGGCCTTATCAAAAGCGATAGTCCATAAAAAAAGAAGCTAGATCGAAAAGCTGCAGACAGACTGGCCCACTGATTTGGCTCAAATTTTGCATGTAAACTTGGTTAGGGGTTTTGATCATGAAAGAGATATTTTAAGATTGAAATCTATTTTTGTAGAAAATTACGGCTCAAGGCCATTTTGAGACTCTCAAGAACATGGAAACGAGGCTGGTTAAGAGAATTTTTCAATGCCTGGGCTTCCTTTGCTTTCTCATTATTGTTTCTTTTTTATTATTATCATTATTATTTCTATCATAAAACAAGTGTTCAATTCTTCCTCTTTGGTTTGAATAGTAAATTTCGTAGGAAAAACAAAAAAAAAGAAAGTGGTTGAACGCGCTATTCAATTTACTTAGTCTTAGGTGTTTTAATATTCTTGAAAAATACCGTAAGTTCAGAAGCTCGTAGTACTGTACATATGTCGAGTTAGAACAATTTGTTAGTTTCTAAATCAACATCTGTCAGAGATGATTTGCCACAGTGTTCAGAGCAGGGCAACCTCATTGCGCTGCCACATCTCCCAGTAGAATATGCCGATAAGGTTTCTGGAGATTTAAGTCGCAGTCTCTCTAGAAGCGGACCGGTGCATTTCGGTTCAAAAAAATTGATCTCTTTCAAACTATTCCCATGAATCGGTCTTAGTCTAAAAGTATACGAAGCAACCTTGATTTCCCGAAATAATGAAAAATAAAATTTTCCCGTGCGAAAATCGGTTCTGCGCTCGAAGGCCTATTGTTTTGATGGTATTAACCACCATAAATGGATCGTTTTTTCACAAAATTCTTGTTTGAAGAACTTTTTCGCTTCGCATATTTAGATCGATCATTTATAAGAACAAGTCACGTAATCTTTTTTTTTTTTATTTTTCAGTGGTTTTTGACACTAAAAATTATTTTTTCGCTAAACACCTATTTGCCTCTGCTGCCATGACCGTAAACATGCAGCTTTCAATCTCGCCTCTGCTTAAAATTCCAACTTGTTCCCGATGACATTTTTATTCAGAATAACTAAAACAAGAGAAAGGAGTAAGTGAATTAAAAAATATATTGTGATTTCGGTTTAATTTTTTTAGCAGAACGGGCTCATTTTCGAAAATTACACGCAACACTGCACAGAGAGCGGACTCGACTATATATGAAATTTACGTATACAACTTATGGTTGACGCCTGAATTGAGCACTTTGATGCTTCTTTAAGCTTGTTGATGCCATAAAACAGCATTTAGAAGGGAAAATTCTCAATCCCATCCGCCGAAAGTTGACTCTTCGCCCTAAGCGACCTATTATTTTCTTTAAAGGGGTAAGTTTCTAAAGGAACTGTGGTTCTGCGTCGGTGGGAGAGTAGAGCAGGTAAGTTAGTGTTAACAACTTGGTTGAAAACGTAAATTAGCCACCGTAAAGGGTAAAAAAGCTGACGTTTCGAGCGTTAGCCCTTCGTCAGAGCCATTAGAGGAATTGTGGGTTGTGTGTGGATTTATTCCTATTCCAATTCCTTTCATTCGGCTCTTAAATATACCTGGGAAATTTTCGACACTTCTTTGGCTTTTCTAGACATCAAAATTTCAATTGAAGGCAACGGCTTATGTACTAGTGTTTACTACAAACCTACAGATTCACATAGTAACTTGTTGTATTCATCCTCACATCCATCACACGTCAAGAACTCCATACCTTTTTCACAGTTTCTCAGACTTCGTCGTTTATGTAGTGACGACTCTGATTTTTCCGAAAAATCAGAGGCAATGTGCCAGTTTTTCGATAAACGTGGCTATCCTGTTTCTGTCGTTCAAGCGGGCTACCACCGTGCCCAACAAACCGATCGACAGGCAGCACTACAAACGGCCGAGAAGGAGAACACTGACCGCATTCCATTTACTCTTACATTTCACCCTCACAACCACGCAGTTAAATCTATCATTCTTAAAAATTTTAAATTACTCCAAAACGATTCAGAGACTGGCACTATCTTTTCGCAACCCCCACTTATTTCATTCAAACGTGACAAAAACATAGGCTACTTTTTAGTCAACCCACAATTCCTCTAATCGCTCTGACGAAGGGCTAACGCTCGAAAAGTCAGCTTTTTTACCCTTTACGGTGGCTAATTTACGTTTTCAACCAAGTTGTTAACACTAAATTACCTGCTATTGTTTTCTTTATCACTCAGTATTGAAATGAAAAATGCAGGAAATGGCATTTTCGATTTAAAATCTTCTGTAAGAGCATGCTCCTAGATTCATTACTTTGGACGGCCTTCGGCGCTCGGTGTTATCTTCTCGTGCGTTCACCTTAAAAATCCCACGCTACACCTGGAGGATGTCAACTTCTCGAAGAAATCGGAATAAATTTACAATTAGATGAACAATAACTTACAGTAATACCCACCAGCGCTACGCTCTAAAATACAAATGTATGAAAAATTCATCGGCGGAGTGACGGTGGCGCCGTTATTCGTAATTTCAGTCATCGCTACATACGTGCATTGCATGTGGCCACAAAGTTTGTTGGATGTCATATATATTACTACGACCCTTTTAAAGCCACTATCAAACTGACAACGACGCATTTTTTTAAGAAAGATGGCTTCAAATCAGACTAACCGTTTTCAGAGCGTAGATTTATCAGTAGAAAAGTTCATAAACGGACAGGAAAATGAAAACGCCAAGAAAAAGACTTAATAATATGTTGCTCTGTTCCATGAATTTCTTTTTTTGAAAGGCGAGACGAGGCAAATGAACTAATGACACCTCAAGCACTGAACAAGTTTCTCAGCGAGTTCCTTATAACGGCTCGCAAAAAAGAAGACAACTAGGAATACGAACCTAATTCCTTAAGGGCATTCTTCGCTAGCTTTGAGCGCCATTCGAAGAAAAATAAAGTATGGACTTTGCCTTATGAAAGACATCTAGTTCGAGCAAACTCGGAAAGCGCACCAGTCAAAGCAAAGGGATCTAAAACGGATAGGCATGGGCAACAAGCCGAATGCTTCTGCTGCTTTAAGTGAAGAAGATGTTCAAGTTCTGTTTGAAAAGGATCTCTTGGGAAGTTCCACGGCAGAAGCGCTTTTAAACACGGTATGGTTCAACAACATAATCCATTTTGGGTCACAAGGCTGCAAGGAACACAGAGAAATGTGTTCAAGGTGAGACGTAAAACTTTGTCAAAACTTCCACAGGGCAGGAGTACCTCGAATTCGATGAAAGAGAAACCAAAACTCGTTTAGGAAACGATCCACGGAATGTAAAAGCCATTGCACCGAAAATGTTTGGTGTGCCGAGTAGCCAGAATGTCCAGTAAAGGCCTACAAAGTCTACGCAGAAAAGCGACCCGCGGAAATGAAAACCGACGATGCACCGTTTTACTTTGGCAGTAAATAATGTAAGATATGGAACCAACGACGTGCTGCCAAATGATATTATGCAACTGTCAGGACACAACGATCAAAGTATCACTAGCTACTCTACCGTCTCACAGAAACAACAGATGAACATGTCTCACACTCTCACTGGAAAGTTTGACTCGCCATTTTTTAGTTAGCAATGGAATCAGATGGCCGCTCGCATTAATACGAAATTTAGAGGAAAGAGGAGGAATCTTATTCACAGACTTCAGAAAACTAGTTTGTTTTGAAAACACAAAGATGACACGATTGGTCTATCATTACCCACAAAAAAATTATGGGTCGGATAATTAAACAGAGTTAGCTATTGTTCAACAAAGCCGCGTTCTAAGTTATCCTAAATGTGGCTAATCTTAGCATATAAACTTTACTAATTATGGAGAGCGTAAATAAGGCATAAAACGCAGACTAGAAAATCATTTATCTGCCCAAAATAATGCATTTACAAACTGGTTAGGTGACAGCAGTCAAAGGAATAAAGTTTGGTAAATAGACTTTTAGTTAATGAAAAGAAAAGTATATTAGATATTTAATTATTTTGTTCACTCCTTAATATAAAGGAAAAAAAGCGGCGTTCTCGTTGTGAGAGGGAATCGAACCCCACTAAGCCTATTTAGAGAGCGCAAGCGCTACCACTGCACCACACGGAATGATCGCTAAAAAATTTCCTTACAAATTTTTCTATAACGATCTATTTAGCGGACGAATTTTCCTAAACCGATGCATGTTTCAAATGAAAATGTGTTAATGCAGCTTTATTAGGATATAACCCAAATATGCGATATCACCCACGTATTCAAACGGCTGCTTTGAAGGTCGGATTCCATGCGTTGCTCTTACACAAATATTCGAAAAGACTCCAAACTTACAGCCACGCCAGCCGGTTATTGTTACTGAAAATGCTTGATGGTAAATTCTTCAACTGGTTGTTGTTCAACAGCCTATCAAAAATAAGTTAACGTATTTTCAATTGCATTGTATACGATAACAAAGTTCAAGATATAAGAGTGCTCGAAAACTGAAAAAGTTGTTACTTCTCTTCTAAAAAAAAAAAGACTAACAAAACAAAAAGCCAAAGCAAGTAAAAGCTTTGGCAACCCCTGTGTGCAAAAAAAGCAAACAAAAACAAACGAACAGGGAAAGGTGTGAGTATCATTTGGTTTCTGGTTCACGCGACATATCCCAATTATGATCTATTCATGAGAGTGTCCAATCAGTTTATTTAATTTATGAGAATTATATTTTTAACATAGATACATTTTTCTTGTAGGAATTGAAAGACTCAAGTAATTTTTACGCACATAGATCGTCACGTTATTTATTTGCTTGATTTATCTTGTTGCTTTAAGCCCATGCTCTCACGAAATGTTAGTACTGAAGCCATTAGAAATATATAAAATCGTCATTACTTAAATGAAAGGTTCAGGCGGATGTCGCTTTGAAATGAAAGTCTCTTAATTCATTAATCCTACTTTGTTTCAAATCTTTAGTTCATCGTTTATTTTTTGTCACATCCGGATGTTTGAATGCAATTGTATTCCAGAGAATAGCAGCCCTTATAATTAATAGACTGTTCTTTCATAGACTCGCGAATGCCCACAAGAAAAAAAAAAATTGTGCGCGAGTCGTTTTTAAAAACACAACCACACGTTGCATGACAAAAAAATCGATTTAACTGTTATTTCATCTCTTCCGTCGAAGGAAGCGAGTACGACAAATGAGTGTCATTTAATTGAGTACTAAACGTGCCTGTGGGGCAAATTGTAAAATCAGCGATATCTTTTGGCGTCTCGAAGATGCCGGTGCTCGACAAAATAAGATCAACTTCATTTTCTGGATTTGAAAACTTGCAACTCCGCAAGTGACTTGAAATGTATTTTTAACAACTACGCATGCACAAGGGAACGACTTTAGATATGCAACTTTGGTCTTCTCGATAACTAAACCCACAAGTTCGACTAAACGAAAAGCAAATCTCCATATTCTTATGTAAGATCAGACGTTTATACAACAGATCAATAAGCTAAATCAGTAAGTAGCTTCTCAATCAAATTGACTTTTGTAACTATTATTTGACTTCCGCCGGCAAAGGAATCATTGATGGGTCTGGAAATTTTAGTTTTCTGAAGGCAGTAATTTCTAGAAGGTTTTTCTAGAAAACATGCAAATAGGAAAAAAAACCCATCTCTTGGTATTTCGGAGGTTGATTCATCTTTGGATTTACATCTATCTGTCACGCTTGTCATGCAGCTGATATAATAAGATGGAGTAGATATATAAACTGGAACTCAAATCTGGCTAGAGCGAGGTAGAGCATAACGCGATCATCGAAACAGCTAATAAAATCATGGATAAACAAGGTAAGAGTGTTATGTGCGTTTTTTTATAAATTGTAGTGATTTATGCTAGTAACGGTGGCGACAAGTAGGCACGCCATGTATATTTCATAGTCACTAGCAAGTAAATTTTGCCAGACTTTGAGTTAGATACACAAGGAAATGTTTACAGTAACTTTATAACCATCCTTTTGTCTTTTTGAATCCGGAAGCTCAATAGATTCTGTCATATCAGTCAATGTTAAAACTTGTAGGAAAGGTATGTTGGACAAAAGTATTCACCAAAAACTAAATATTTCTTTGCCAGCTTAAGTAATGACAGGGTATTAAGATGATAAAACAAAGGGTTATGTCGACAGAAATAGCGGAGGTCAAATAAATTCGTTAGATGAGGTCACACAATTCGGGTAATAGTCACCGTGAAAATTTGCATATTTGAGCGGTCAAACTAAGAAAAACATTCCTCGAAAACTACTGTATATTTTCAAAAAAAACTGCACCACAATTATTGGGACATATTGGGCTACAAAGAATGAAAGTAGGAATGAAGGCTAAAATACCCAAAGCCACTTCAATCTTTGCTTTCCATGAATAAATAAGCATTTTAAACTAGTTATAGTTCTCACTAGAGCTGCCCCCGCCCTACAGTACCATTTTCTTTTTTTTTTTTTTTTGAGTTGGGCTTGTTGTTTACAGTTGTGTAATTTTTTTGTTATGCTGTTACGGGATTGCGGCTCAGTACTTTGGTGTTAGTAATTTTGGATCTCAAAATACTACAAGTGTACAAAATGTAGTTTTGGGAAGTGCTTGGGTTTTTTTTTTTTGCTGTGTCGTTTAACTTAGGATTTGTTTGTTCTTCACGATCAAGAAGAAGCAGAATGTAGGGACTTGGGTGAGTTTTAACATTGGAATGTTATAGGTGGCATTAGAGAACAATTTATAGAGAGCATTGAAGAACAATTTATTATTATATAGTTATTAGACACAAAATTATACCTTAGGAGGGCCTACATTCTCTCTTCTCCAGTCTTCCTCTATACTAGGACAAATCTCGTGTCAAAGACGCCGATCCTAAAAGTCCTCGCGCGTGTCTTTTTACTGGCAGCCAATGACCATTTGCGGGAAAAACGTTGATACCTTGCGGCCGTGCAAGCGATCAAATCGAGATTTTTTCTGGTTATGATCTACCGAAAATACCCACATTCTCTCTTCTCCAGTCTTCCTCTATATTACACGGGGAGTCCTAAGGTGCCTCCTCGGGTTTTTGGCCCTCTGGGGCCAAAAACCATGCGGGGGCAAAGATAAAATTCTCTTTAAAATGTAAAATTCTTCAGTCCATTTTAATAACTTTCGATCTTAATTCGTTACATTAACTAATTTTGGCTCCAACTTGTAGAAGCTGCAAAAAAGGTCGTATGACAAAGAAATAAGTTTGCACAACACGTCACGCAATATATCAAGCCGGGTTTGTCCAGTTGATTTTGATGGACGCAGGGAAATGTCGAGTTTGTCGCTCAAAACCGTTGTGGTCCATAAGAGCATAACATCATTAATGACGGGAACAAATTTGCAGAAAGGAGGGCCATCGGGTTCCGTGTTGTAAATCTCGGGAGAAACTGCAAGAATTGTTTCAGAGTGTATGCGTGTTGTTTTGTAAATATAAACTCTGTAACCTATTTTAACTTGTCTTTGTGTCCTTTTAAGCAACGCGATATGTCTGTTATGACCAGAGTGCCAAATTTTATTCTTTAATTTTGATCTTCTCCTTACTGTGCGTAGTTCATGACCTGGTATTTCAAAGTAAACTATCGAGAAGGCGCCTTCCGATCACCTTTGTCTACTTTGTAAGTCACGCAAGGGCGCAATCGTTACGATTGATCACGTTTCCGCAACGTTTTAGGACAACTCGGCATCTATTCTCCATTCGGTTGCTATGAAAACCTAAAATCCTCAATGTAGACGATAAACGAACGAGGTTTGAACGGTCAAAAGGAGATCTTGGTCAATTTTAGGAATCATGCAAATGATCTTTGACACGAGCGCAATTGAGCAAACACATGCATGTGGCACATTGGGGGAGGTAGGAACAAGGGTACTGTGCATCAGTATTATAGGAAAGAGGGCATCTAGGTCACTTGGAGATAAGGCATTATTGTATGTTCGGTAGATTTGGCTTTAAGGCATCTTTTGCAAAAATAAAGAAGAGTATAAACTTACAAGACCGATAACCAGGTGTTTTTGCTAAAAATCTCTGACGGTAATCCCTTCAACTGATTGTTGTCCAACCGCCTAACAAAAAATCATTTAATCACATCATTTAGTAAGTTACACCAGTTAAGGAAGGTCAAGAAACACAGAAAATGCTTGTAAACAGACTGTAAGCGTCAATAAATCGATGCCTCCTTTTTAGTTGCGATAACAAAACGAGTTATACTGTAGAACAAAATGACTTTGAAGGTTTTCTATTTGAAGCATTGAAAACAGTCCACTGAACACTTTAAAAATTCCTCTCTGCTCCCTCTGTATCTTCCAATCACCTATTGTTATGATACATAAGGCTTTACCATACGAACTGACATGAAGTGTATACCACTTCATGAATCAGGCGACGTTTATTTGTTTGAGGGTGGGGGGTAGGGTAGTTAATTAAAAGATACCAAAAGAAGTTTAAAAGGGAAAAATATTGAACTAATAATTAAGAATGTGTGGAATAGACGGACGTTGGCTGAGAAGAGTAAGGACAATTTTCTTGTGTTACGACTGGTTGATGTGCTTCCAAGTCTGGGTTTCCATACAGGAAGTTAGTATTGAAACATGCCCAGAAGTGGCCTTTTCGAACGGTGCCACATAGCTGCATGATACCGGCGTACAAATGTATGCACTAGTTTCCGCAGCCAGCCGTAGAATTGTGCCTTACCGGTAATACTAGAGGTGGGGAAACTAAACCACCAACGAGTGCATCTTAATCTATTTGCTTAAATTGCAAAAAAAAAAACAAACAAACAAAAAAAAAAGCAGGAAATGGAATTTCCGAAACCCTAGATTTAAAAATGTTCTATAAGAGCATGCCCCCAGATTTCCTAGTCTGGATGGCCTTCACCGCTCGATATTATCTTCTCGTGCGTTTACAAAAAAGTTTCACGCTACACCTGGAGGATGTCAACTTCTCGATCAGTATATTTTTACAATGTGATCACTAGGCGAACAATAACGTGCAATAATAACCGCTAGCGCTACGTTCAAAAATCCAAACGGTTTAATAATTCATCGGCGGTGTGGTAGCGGCGACATTCGTAATTTCGTTCGTCGCTACGTATGTGCATTGCATGAGGCTACAGAGTTTGTCGGATGTGATACATTATTGCGACCATTATAAAACCATCAACAGAATTAGAACGAGACTTGTGAAAATCATACCGGATCATAATTCCCCGCGATGGATATTCGATCAGATAAACTAAAAGCAGGGAATTAGACAGGGGTACCGATCGTTACATTTAGCTTTTGGTAAATACTACGAGTACGTTTCGGTAGCAGGGTATGGCTAATACCAACACTGTGTGAAATAGGGTCTATCGCGGTTCTGAAATCACACGATACGGACCCGTATTCTTCGAGAATACGGACAAATCCGGACGTACCGTGTTCCAAGACATGCGATGTGTCCACCAAGTGTCAGGAACTGTATTCGTTCCAATTCGGACTTAACCCGTGGCATGGAAAATTCGATGTCAGGATACGTCATTGAAACGCGGCGTGTGGAGACTCGGAAATTTCCTTATACTTTCAGATTTGCCGCAACTAGTGGTGTACCGTATACGAGCGCGCGGTCAGTCAAATTGTGTCTTTCTAAAAATTGTCTTTTCCACCATGAGAACAGTTTCACTAAGTATTCTTGTCCCGAAATACCACAGTACCAGACGAATCGATCTGTATTCTGGAACCCGATTTTCCACGGTACTACGAGAATCGCGTAGTATTCAATAACCCGAAATTCCACGGTAATAGACGAATCGGTTTGTATTGTAGAAGCCGGTTTTTCACGTTACTATGAGAATGGCTTGATATTCAAGAACCCGAAATTTTTCGGTATTTGAAGAATAGATTCGTATTCTAGATTTTGATATTCCACGGTACCAGCAATTCCACTCGGCATTCTTGATCCACACTACATACTATCAGGTGTTTTAGGAAAAGCAACGAATTCTCCCGATAATTTCGCACCCCCTTACTAGTGTATTTTTCTCAGAACCTTTACTCTAAAACAATAAATTATTTTAATATCTAATAAATAATCCTCAAAATGGCCAATTTACAGAATCTATTTCATCATGTGATGGCTAACAACTAAGTCTAACATTATGCACAAAAAGGGAAAAAATTAAGATTGTGTGTAATAATTAAATATACTAAGCTAAAAGTGCTTAATGTTGATATGGATGGAAGCAACATTTTCCATATTTACATGAATCATTACACCACGACAATAATTTTAAAAAGACATTTCTCCATCAGTCAGATATGAAGACAAGAATAACAAGAAGAAATGTCTATACTCTAATATTAGAGAGTAATAAAATTTTATAAAAAACTGAAATAAATTCTAAGCAAGTCAAACCATGTTAACAACTTAGTGGGCCCTGGTTATTTACTGAGCTGGATAGTTCCTTTTTAAAGCCAATTCTTTAACATAAAAGTTGTTTGAAGAACACAATAATTCAAGAAGCTTGTTTGAAATCATTCCGATCAAATTAACTGTGGCATATCCAAAACTGTAGTATTCTTTACATAGGTCTTCAGTACAACTAATACTACTTCAACAATAAATGGAGTTGATCGCCATAAAATTCTATATTATTTAAGGATTCTTCCCACAGATTTTTGAACTGTTTGCAATAGCTGGCAGATTATGTTCCAATCAAGATGAGAGAGAAAGTTAGAAAGTGGCATCATTTGTTAATTTTTCAGTTTGTGAAACCAACTAATGCAATATGCAAAAAAAACATTTCGTGAGTTGAGGTTAAAAAGGAACCATTCACCCTAATACACATAAACCACCTTGTCATTCTGTCTAATGAACTGAATTATAAACAGAAGGCAAAACATACAAGTTATGTAAATAAAGAACACTTAGGCATTAATTTAGTCCCACAGTGACTGTAGCCATCTGTTTGGCCTCCTTTAGATTGTGACAGGGCTGGTGTCCAACATGTGCAAGGGTTCCCCATTGCCTTCATCACCACTGCAATGTTGAGGGGACTGTGGGGAGGGAGGAATCCTATTTTGAGAAGGAGACCTCTCAGGGCTCTCTCTATCACCAGGAAGGAGTGCCCATGCAGGTGAGGAAGTTGGTGGACTGCACCTGGATGGCTCTCCCTCTACTCTTTTATTTTGTGGATGTGAGCTTGAGGAGGCAGATGGCCGGTTGTCAATTTTCTCCTGAAGTCTCTTTAAGAGAGGAGATAGCTGTGGACTATGCTATGGTGGTGACCTCACAACCCACACATCCTCTTGACTGCCCTCACCATTCTCCTCGCCACTCATGAAATTTGCATCAATTTGTTGCAGAGCAGTCTTGTCTGCTTTATTTCTTCTGTCAGGTGGATTGTCAAGGTATTGCTGTCTTTTCGTTTCATAACATCTTCACACAACACCTGGTACATAAAAATAGTATTAGGTAAATTGCTTATTATTTATTTATTACCCAAATTCACGAAAAAGTCTTTGATGGGAATCTTGTCCTAACATTGAAAGCTATTTTTCTCAAATTTATCCTTTCGTTCTCTCAAGTAAATGGCAACCTTACATCAACATTCGATGAGAAAGTCAGGTTAGGTCATTTTCAAATTCAACCTATTAAATTGTTTGGTTATGCATCAAATGTGTCTCTTCAAAGTTAAGTTTCATTCATCAGGAACAATAGGAGTCTTCTACTAAAGGTAGGCACAAGACAAGTTATGCACCTCGAAAAGCTATGTTTTAGGGTACTCTAGACAACAAACTTTCAGATGAAATAAACAAAAGTTTAAAAATTTCTTACAAGGTGACCACATTTTGTTGGACCAGAAAAGTAAAATTGCATGCACTCTCTAGTAGCACATTTAGGTATGTAATTTAAAGAGAAAATCATATGAACACATCACTTACGCTTGATAGTTGACTTTTCATAGCCATTGTTTTCCTTTTCCGGTTCCTTACAAAGAAATCCTCGAACAGCATTGTTGTGGGCACTATCAATGCTACAAAGGAATGTTATAGTAGTAATGCTTTGTAAGAAAGGTGCATTAATATGAACAAAATTAAATATAGGTTTAAGTTATTGACCAAGCTTGTTTGGAAGGTGATAAAATTTTTGTGTGTTTATGAACTGAGACTTTGTCAAGATCTGTGAAGACGTAAAAAGTAAACAAGGCCAATTGCTCAGCGTCTTGACTAAAATAAGATATTCACATGGCCAACAAAGTAAGAAAAATGCTTGAGGGAAAATCACAAACAAATAAAATCCTGTCTTCCCCATTTGCCAGCCAATCGCAAAAAATCAGGGGACTTTGCAGAGAGCCTGAAACAAGTCACTTCAAGTTGTTTTAAATGACAGAAAAGACCACAATACACAAGAACACAGGCTTCTCCATCTCCTCGCGGTTTGCTTGGATCAAAATGGCAGACTATTAAGCATTGTGTAAAATATTTTTTTGTCTTGTGAAAATATTGCTTTTCAGTCACAAGTAAGCAAAGCTTTAATTTGTCCTGCAAATTTTAATGTGGCTTCTTGTTTTAAAATGTGCCACCCCTCTAGGAGGGACAATCTCTTAACTTTGGTTGTCCTTTGTCCCCACCTAGAGAGGGAAATTAAGTTCTTTGACTACACCCTTTGCAAAGTCCCCTCCCTTAACCAAGGTTCCCCCCTCCAGGAGATGGCTGATGAATAGGTGCATTTCCAAAAATATTCCACAGACGAACTCTTAATATCCTGAATAGATATCTTTTACTCACCCTTCACTTCCATAAAACTAAAGTTCAACTTCTTGTTTGTTGTGCAACATGTGCACATCACCCTTAAATTCAAACAAAATTAATTATAAGAACATTAACGTTTCTTATAAGAACAGTGTATGTGGAATCAAATGTGAAAAGTGAAATAAGGGAGTTAAGTTCAAATTCTAATAATATCATGGGTAACAAATTATGCTTACGATTGTGTGGTTTAAAATTTCTAGCCAGAATACAAGATGTTTTATTTACAAAAACAAACAACTTAGGGACAAATAAAGAAATAAATGTTTAATCATTTGTCTCATGACATAGAGTCAGGCTATCAAAAGTTTGACAGCAATGTTTCCTACTGCTACACTGTTAGTCTTTGTCAGTCAGCAAGTTTGAATGTTTACATGTCGCTATATGTAGTACTTTGGTGTTTTTTCATTGGTACGTTGTAGTACTCTGTCCTTGGTGAATTTCAATCCTCATTATTATTCCTACTAGCAGATGTTATTCCCTCAAAGGTCCGCTCTGTTACTGACCGGCTGTGATGCTCTTTAACTGTAGCCATCCACACTTCAGAAATTTTGATCCCACTCTCTCTATTGATGTTATTAGGGTAAAGTTTTATGTGTTTTCAATAATGAGAGCAGAATTTAAATTCCTTAAGCATGGATGCCCACAATCAAAAAGCATAACAGTTAGTCAGTAAAAAAGCTGACCTACGGGAGAACAACATCTGCTGGTTGGAATAATAATGAGGATCAAAATCTCCCAATGATGGAGGGCCAAAATGTACCAATGACAAAACACCAAGGTGCTACATATAGCAATACATAAACATTTGACTTCATCACGTGATGAAGAAGACTAGCAATGTAGCTGTCGAAACACCCAATCAAACTTTTGATAGCCTGACTCTAAATCACGAGAAAAATGATTAAATGCTCATTTATCTATTTAACCTCAATGAACAATAACATCTTCTTTAACTTAAGGACATTTTTGTAAATTATTACAGAAAAAAACAATCTATACTGAACCATGTGCAGTAACCTTTTTCAGTAGCTTTAAAACTAAATAGCAGAAGTTGATTTTCAGGCACTATTGGCAAATGATGTCTACCATTCTCAAAACCTCATACACTGGAGCAATCTTTGAGGCCGCCCCCGGAGTATTTATTATTCTCGGCTTAGTTTCAAACAAGCCACATGACATGCGGTATTAACATCACAAAGAAGGGAATACTGTCCCACAAGCTTAAAATACTTCCCATACCAGAATCGAAGCTTAAAAGGAAACGCCTATTGCTACAGTGCTGGAACAAAAATTTGCACAAACCTTTAGTTGCTTTGGAACAGGCCCACGGTGGATATTCTCCTTCTCGGTCGACTGAGGTTGGCGATCGAGCTTGTGTCGTACAGTCTGTAGTTCGGTCTTCACCTCAGCCACTTCTTTACAAGCGTTTTCCAGTTCCACGCTCAAACTGTCTAGTTTGGCATTTTGCCGCTTTACTATATCCCCCAGTTCTTTGATTGTGTCGAACAACTGTCGAATTTCTCGGTTTGAGACCAGCAGGTTCTCCCGATTTCTAATAGAATCTTCTCGTAAAGGCTCTGGATGGGATGGAACTGCGCTTGATCGGGCGCCGGTTGATGAGCTTGAGCCGAATGGTCGTCGCCTCAAAGTGGTACTGGTATTATCACTCCGGAAGAAAGATGCAGCCACTTCGATGTCAAAACTAAAACCGTCCAGCGAAGATTATGTGACGCGTCCACTGGTCGAGCGGGTCAGCATTAGATTCCATCCACCAAAACCACCTCGGTCGAGAGGGACTGAGATGGAATATTTAATGACTTGCAAAACATAACCGAAGATTCTCGGAAATCCGCGAGTGATGTAACCGAACATCCAAAGCTGTAAATCCCTTGATTCTTGAGGCACAAACAGAAACAGCATGGCTAGAATTTTAAAGCGCGAACCCTTGCTTGATGGTAGACATGCGGATAATTTAGGATACGTCAATTCTGTTGATGAGGCGCATAAGCTTATTGCAGAATTTGAAACAGGATTGACGACGGAGTTTTCTTTCTGTAAAGCTGACAAAGGTTTCGGGAACACTGGTGTATATATATATATATATATATATATATTTATAATAAAGTTTGGATATAACGTGCGCTGTCATTGGTTGAAAGAGCGTGCTCTATGAGAGTATAAAGCATAGAACTGAGCTAAAGCTGTCACGCCATCTCCCAAATTGTACCATGTTCGACCTTTTCCGGGACTTCTTTTTAGCTTTTTTCCGATAATTGAAAGTGAAATTTCGGAACAAGCAAGCCGGCAAGTAGTAACAGAAGAACCAAACAAAGGTTTGTAAACATACCAGGCGCCGTTATTTACGTTATTAAAACGTGGGCAGATACGAAAATCCTCAAAGGAAAAACAAAATAGACATTCCGAGTTTTAAAGATTTTCACGCTCAGTTAGATTGCAAGCTTACGTACGGTAATGAAAATCAAACACAGCCAACACTCGTATAGTATATAAAGTTCAGAGTTCAAAAACAAAACAGAACAAAACAGAAATGATGAAAAATATAACCAAACTGGCATAATTGTTAAAATTCATACTAATGATTACGGAAAATATGAACATGCTGAAGTCCATCGCGGCTCACTTATCATGCCGCCCTTCGAGTGAAAAAATAAGAGCTCGCTCTGATATCCTTTCCAATGTGTTGAGTGGAAAGTCACTTCAGTCACTGCAGCCGAGTTTTGCGGCGCTGTCATCCCGAGCGATCTTCATGTTCCGGTGAATTCGGCTGTCGTTCATTTAAAAAACACTCGCCTTGAACAGTTGGTTTTCTACCTTGTCATGTGAAAAAACCCGCGTGTTTTTATGAGTCATAATTCGGCTGAAGTTCACTGAACATTTCACTCCAAGATTCTGAATTAAAAACTTCAGGCAAAAGCGTTAAATTCGACCTGCCGAATTATTTTAGTTTGTAAACCATCGCAGAGTGTGAACTTTGATGGTTTTTTAACTTTGATGGTTTGACACTTTTGACAGCTTTTGTCTTGTACAGCCAATCAGATTATTTGAACCATTCTAACAGGGATTCTGATTGGCTTATTGTAGCATGCTCTATGAGAGTATAGAGCATGCTGACGACACTGTTCTTCGCTTTGGAAATAAAGTTTGTTTTGAAAATTGAAAGTTATACATGGGGAATTTAACGGATTCTTTATTATAAAACAGATAGAGAAGCCTTGACTGTATTCTGTTCTGTTATAAAGCACTTAGGAAGCGGCTAGAGCACTCAAGAAGCGGGAAGAAACACTCGACTACGTCTCTTGTTTCTCCCTACACTTCTTTCGTGCTCTAGCCGCTTCCTGCGTGCTTTATAACAGAACAGAGCACAGTCAAGGCTTCTCTATTTGTTAAATATATATATATATATATATATATATATATATATTATGAGAGGAAAAAAAAAAAATATATATATATATATATATATTTATATAGCTCTTTGGCATTACAAAGCTTTGCTATCGCTATTGTGCATTCTCACCACTTTATCTAGTTCAAGTCCTCTGGCATGGCTTGGATGATACCACAATTGTGGAATCATTCGGGTTATCTTAATGCTTACACCTCCTTCCTCGGAAAGAAGTCACAAAATACTCTGGGAAGATGCATGAGATATTTAAGAGCAAAAATTCGTTTTTTACAGGTGTGCCTTTCCTAATTTTGGGAAGGAAAGCGTTCAATTGCCAGTACGGCATAGATAGAACAGCTGGAGAGAAAAGGAAACGAAAAGATGCAGAAGAAGTATTGTATATAATATTTTCTTTTTATCCTCAACCTTTGTGTTACTGTCAACCATGGCTTGCTAATTCTAAAGGTCAAATACACACATGAATGGGTCATATGACAATGATCTCAGAATACTTTTATGACAAACGCGATAACAGTTCAATCTTGGCTAAATTGAAGATGGTTTAGAAGTAAACAATTATAAGAACTTTTCACTAACATATGCTGCTGATAAAGGAGAAAATATATGCAATTCTGCATTTTTCGCTTTCTATCAAGCAATCATGTATTGGCTCCTTATCACGCTATGATACTTCCGTTTTGTCAAATTCCAAAAAATTAACTTGAGAAATACACTATCACTCATCTTACACTGTTATATTTACCTATTACAGAAGGCCAGAAACAAAGATTTTTTTTCAAGAAAATAAGATTTCTTGTTCGAGACACAAGGAAGTTTGACTGCAAAGCACAGATAAAAATGTGAGAAATTTTATTTTTTTCAGAGAACAAAGTAGTTCTACCCATGTATAAAGAGAACGAATCCGGTTTAATAAATCAGATATGCGGCATGATTCCTTTTCTTCCATCCCCACTCAAAACAAGCAAACACACCTATGTAGGTTCCAGTCTGGTCTGCAAATGAAAAGGAGGAAGGTGATCATTGCAAAATTAAGCATCACGGTTCTTATTTATAACATATTGATTATTGTATACTGATATCAAGAAATTAAGGTTGTGAGTAGCAGCCAGCTGAGTTATAGGTTGAGTTTTATCAAGTCCATTACTTTGTTAAATTTAGAGTAACCTTGTCTTGACAGAGGAAATTGAGGAGCTGTAATATACTTATCATCAATTAGGGACCACACAGAAAAATTTGTTTATAGAGACTTTTAGAGGAGAGGGGTAAGACTTGTGATAAGCTAGAAGGAGTTGGTCACCCTGAATATCTTCTGTCGTACCTTGTGGTGGAGAAGACTGCTCTAAACATCCGGCACTAACCTGGTTTCGCGGCATAGGCGAACCGTTTTTGCTTTGCCCTCCTGACTTTGGCACACCGGATTTACAATTTCTTGCTTCATGGCCTTGCCTTCCACACAGATAGCATTTCCTGGTAGGACAATTAGCAGACCTATGCCCTCGGCCATTACATCTGTAACAGTACAGTGGTGTTGTATCAGTTGGTGGCTTCTTGTTGTCATCCTTCTCCGGTGGTGTAGGTGCCTTGTTCCGCCCGGTGTTA